ACCTGCCAGCTCGTAATAAGTTCACGTGCTGCGTGACACCATACAGGCTCATAAAAAGAGTGTGCCACACTCGCCGCCATGGCTACAGGTGGCGCTGACTGACACTCTCACGTTTAAATTCACCAATAAACCCAATAAAGTGGCTGGGGGGATAGCCGCCGTGAGAGCTCAGTGGTAGAGCTTCGAACGCGTTATTTGAAGGTCATAGGTTCGATTCCTGCTCACGGCAAGTTATTTTTTCACCCACTTTTCCTTCTTATTTACATTACATCGGTTCTAACTTCCCCTGTGCATTTCTGGGCATTATTGTCAGTTAGATCTTACTAATATTGTGTCAAAACACGGAAAAACGCGCCCTTAGATGTACACTTATTTCCCCCCCCCCACACATATATATATATATATATATATATATATATATATATATATATATATATATATATATATATATATATATATATATATATATATATATATATATATATATATATATATATATATATAAAGGCGACTCGCAAGGGCCCGATGGAAATGGTGCATTATTTATCTGTTGAGGTTTTGGTGACTCTTTCGCCGCTCGTGTGTATATATATATATATATATATATATATATATATATATATATATATATATATATATATATATATATATATATATATATATATATATATATGTGTGTGTGTGTGTGTGTGTGTGTGTGTGTGTGTGTGGAACAACTAGTTTCAAATCCAAGTCTGCAACACAGGTGTCCAATCTCCTAACCCATAGAGTTTCTCAGAAACTTCCTAGAGGAAAATCTGGTGTTTGTGAGCTGCTGAATCCAAGTTAATGACGGGCTATGTGAGCTTCGAACTTGACTCGTATTTTTATACCTCGAAGGCGCGTCTGGCTTCACGTTAAAATGATTAATTTCTTACTAGAAAAAAAGCGCGTCATAAGCTGTTTTTTTTTTTGTCATCGCACTGAAACGTGTTTAATTTAACACTGGAAGCTTCTGCGTCTATGTACAATGTTACGAAGCGTAAGAAGTAACCAAAGGCCGCTAAACTTGGCAGGCAGACGACAAAGTGAGCGTTTCCTCCAACCTTTTTATGTCGTCTGTTCTTTTCGCCGTTTGGTTACGCCGTCAAGGTAAGTGGACTTTTATTTTCGACTATAATACGCGTGAATGAGATCCGCTTTTAAACGTTTTGTTTCAGAGAAGCTTTATTTACGCAGTCGTATTTGCTTTTAAGCCGAAGCCTCGCTCAACGCCAGCCTGGCAGACACGTCCAACGGGGCCCCTTAAGAAATTCACATAGAAGGTGGCGCCACACTTCCCTCTAGGTATTAACGTGAGCAACTCTATGCCCCTACCGATTGTCCACCTTGGTGGAACTGCGATTGCCGGGCTGAGTTGCGGATTCGAAGTTAGCGGCTTCGACCCCCGCATTCCGCTAGAGGCGGAATGCTCAGTGCATGCGTGTTGAACAGATTATCGAAATTTCCGCAGCCCTCAACTAATTGATAGATTGATATATGCGGGGTTAACGTCCCAAAACCACCATATGATTAAGAGACGCCGTAGTGGAGGGCTCCGAGAATTTCGACCACCTGGGGTTCTTTAACGTGCACCCAAATCTGAGCACACGGGCCTACAACATTTCCGCCTCCATCGGAAATGCAGCCGCCGCAGCCGGGATTCGATCCCGCGACCTGCAGGTCAGCAGCCGAGTACCTTAGCCACTAGACCACCGCGGCAGGGCAGCACTCAACTACGGCGTCCCTCATAATCATTACGAGGTTTCGGAAACCCTAGTTTTTAAAGACAACAGTCTTTCTTGGGGTACTTGAACGAAGAAATTTCGGTCTGTCTGTTTATCTGTGTATTGGACCGGATAAATAGAATGCCAAACGTTTAACCCCTTACAAACGACCAACCATCTTGTTCTGGTTTTAGCGTTCACTCGTGCTGTGCTGACATTGTCAATAAAAAAATTGCATATTTTGGCGCAAGATCAGTACGGGGTCATTAGGTAGTGAGTTTATTTTGAAAAACGCATAGATACGCAATTATGAAGACCAGAGTGCTTATTACGTGGCGCTTGCAATGCGACGCTATGACCGAAAAACGGATGTTTCCTACACTTAACTAAAGCTACATGGTGCTGCCACCTGCCAATAATTTTGCATTCTATGAAAACTTGGTTTCTTCAAATCACTGCTAGATAGCGTCCATATCTCACGTAGCACCTATTAACTGATTTTCACGCGCAGAACGTCAAATGAACGTTTTAGGGGCGAAGCTCTTTATAGCGGCACTTGTTTGTCCCTCGTAGCTAATGTAGTGTGTAACGGGTATAACATTTTGACCTCCAAGGTGGTGCCTGTGAGAGATTTCTTCTGTGCGTTGTTGAACAATTAAATAGTGCTCAATGAACATGCCAATAGCTGTTAAGGGGGAATGAGAGACAGGAGCATTCGGCTTTTAGTTAACGCGCACGCTGCGATTCCCATTAGCAGCCAAGGCATGTACAATGAGCACTGTCTGACAAGAAAGGGTTGCTACGTTATATTCGCTGAGTGTAACCTCCTTAGTATTAGAAAGGTTTAGCGAGCGTTGAGCCGCAGTGCCATGAATACAATGAACTATAGTATATACCATGAACTCGAAGTGGTTGAAGGTGGGAAGTAGATACGAAGCGCAATCCGTAAGAAAGTAAAAGCCGAATTCTCCTGTCTCTCATTTCCCACTAGCAGCCATTGGCATGTACATTGAGCACTATCTGACAGGAAAAGGTTGCTACGTTATACTCGCTGGGCGTAACCTCCTTGGTTTTAGAAAGGTTTAGCGAGCGTTGGGCCGCACTGTCAGGAATACAGTGAACTAGTACATACCATGAAATCGAGGTAATTAAAGGTGGGAAGTAGACCCGAAGCGCAAGCCGTAAGAAAGTGTGCGTGTGCCACCTCTCGTTTAGTCCTTGGAATGTCCGCTGGATGGCGGTGCTTCTATATGGGGAATATATGATGAAAAGATGCGAGATGGTGGTACCTGGAGTGTTGAATAGATGGACGAACGGACACACAGACAGACGCATGGACGGACGCATGAACGGACGCATGGACGGACGCACGAACAGACGCACGCACGGACGGGCGGATGGACGCATGGACGGACGGAAGCAAGAACGAATGGACGGACGAATGCTTCGTTCCACTCTCCATCATTCACTCCATGGATGCTGCCAATTTTTTTATTGTCCCTCTCTTCAGGCAGAAGACCATCGTCTTTCGACAACCTTTGCCAGCGAAACACGCACATTTTATTATTATTATTATTATTATTATTATTATTATATCCTAACAGATAGATAGATAGATAGATAGATAGATAGATAGATAGATAGATAGATAGATAGATAGATAGATAGATAGATAGATAGATAGATAGATAGATAGATAGATAGATAGATAGATAGATAGATGTTTAAAAAAGGGTCGAGGTAGGCACCTTCCTCCGCTCATCATCTAGCGAGATAGTTAACCATCACATATTTACTCTGCCATTCTCTAATACGGAGGTTTATGGCACGCAAGTTTTCGAAAATGATGGCAGCCGAGGATTCCCGATACATTATTGTACAAATTATTTTTGCCCCTCAGAAATCTGGGCAACGAAGGAAGGCCGCTTTAAGCGCTGCATTTTCATTTTTGTGTCTATTGGTAAGCCTGTTTCCCATTGGACTTCCAGGGGGGAAAGAAGGGGGAGGGGTAACACCTTGCTTAGCGTTGCTGTAATATGCTACTGAAATTGACGTAAACTCGAACACCTTTCCACCCCAAATCAGAGAACCTTGCGCACACCCAATACCCCACGTCCACTCTCCCCACGGCGCACATCCTAATTGTTACGCATCTTCCATGCGATGTCGTTACGTGCTTCACCTAAATCAGTGTACACGAGTGGCCGCGAGGTCGAGTAAACATTTTTCGTTCCTACACGTTTCGCCAACGGGCATGTTTAAGTTGGGAGAGAATGACTTGCTGGGCCTCTTGAAAATCCATTCCAACCACATTTTGTAACGGTGTACGCAGGGTCCTGATCGTAATTAGCAATAAGAAAATAAAAATAAAGTGGACAAATAGTTTATAAGTAAGAATGATACAATAAACATAAGGGTATTTTACACGTATAAAACAAAGAAATGAAGCCATGATGTTCCCCACCCGGGAAATAAGTGTTGTCCCGATTCATTCTCAATCCAATGATCAGAAAACAACACGGAGGAAGTGGAAAACAAGTTCCCCCTTTCCCAGAAAAGCACTCCGGTCAAGAATTCTGACACGCCCAAGCTCTGCTACAAATGAGAAGATGACAATATGAAGATTAAACGTGTATTCATCCTTTAAAGAGGTTCCGACTGGAGTGTGTTGCCTACGGTCCCCATTAAAAGATATTCCAACTGTAAATAAGGCTCGCGCCCTCTCTCGGCACACCAGAAAAGCTCACGTTTAAAACTATGTGTGGAGCAGCTGGGAGTCTGGGACATGAGCTGGGAAGTTGTGACTAATTTGGAGTGTACGTGGCGCCAGTATAGTGGCACGCATATATACACACATGCGGCATCTCTTACACCGACAGCAAACGCATTACTAGGCGAACAATGATTTGCCTTGCAAGAAGATCAGCGTCCACTTTGAGATCGAGTGTTCGACAACGCCCACAACATCGAACAGCATTGTTTCAACCGTTAGAAAGCTTGACCAGGTTCTCCGAAAAGCGGCTGCATCGGTGATGTTGCTTTCGAAAGGCGCCGTTTGGCTCTGTGGACATAAAAGCTAGCCTAGGAACACACAGCCGTCGAATACGCCGCGCTGCCGCGCCGCGCATAGCCACGAAACAGCATTCAAGCTAACGCCTAGACCGCGGGCGCCATCTACGTGCGGCGAGCAAAAACGGTGGCATCGAACTGGAAACCGGAGCAAATGAACAACGCACACACGTGGTATGTACTCACGCCAGGTGTCCGGCTTCACGGAGTACAGGACGAGAGCAGAGAAGAGGAGCGTTGTCGCGAGAGTGGCCGCCGTCGCGGACCTTGATCCACTGGCCCTGTTCGCCATTGCACTTGGCCGGCTTGGCTTAATCGACTCGGCCTGCTTGGGCTGTCGCGGCAGAAGCAAATTCTGAGCTCCGGCAGAGGGCGCGCCCCCTTTTATAGCTTTTATTTTCTGTGGCGTCTGCACTACAGAGCGGAAGCCACACACATAGATAATCTGTACACAATATCAAAAAAAAAAAAAAAACAAGTAACGATGATAGTTCGGCGGCAGCACTGCCCGGCGTCCAGCGCTCGGGTTATGGTGTCACTGCAGCACTGGGATGGACTTTGCGGCGGGCGAGAAGACGAGCTGCGGCTCGAACGGCGAGTACGGGACGAAGGGCCCGAACGGCGGGAAAGGCGGCAGGTTGAAGGGACGAGTCGCCGACAGCGGAGGGTACAGGGGCAGCGCCAGCTTGCCGCGGTGGTGCGCGGCGGCGGCCGCCAGGAACGGGGAAAGGCACAGGGCACCGGCTCCTCCGCTGCCTGGTGACGGGCACGAGTCGGTGTCGGACTCCGGCCTCGCCCGCTTGCCTCCTCCGCTGCTCGTGGAAGAGACGTCGTCGGCCGCCGGCTCGTCCTCGTCGGAGAGCGAGCGCTTGCGCTCACGACCTTTGACGCTGAGGTCTTGCGGCGCCTGCGCCATGCTCTCCATCTTGACGTGGAATGGGATCTTATTCTCCGTCTTGACGATCTCCGGGAACGAGACGAAGCGGTAGACGAACTTCTGGCCCAGCACTTTCTTGATGATGTTCTTGTCGTAGTAGTAGCGGAGCGCCCGGCTCAGCTTGTCGTAGTTCATGTTGTGCTTGTTCTTGCGGAGCCCCCAGAGGCGCGCCACCTCTTCGGCGTTGACGAGCTTGAATTCACCATCCTCGTTGGTCCAGGTGATCATGTGGCTGTAGCGCTGGCTCAGCAGCAGCTCGAGCAGAAACTGCCACAGCGTGATGTTGCTCTCCATGGCTGCGGCTGCTGCGCGACACGAGGAGCGGCCGCCTCCAACCGCAGGAAGCGGCTCGTTGGTGCTGGGCGGCCCCGCAAGCAGGAAACGGCCCAGCTCAGGAAGCGGCCAATTGCCCGGAGGCCGGGGCTCACCTGCCCGATGGTGCTGGGGGGGTTCGAGCGCTGCTGGCGCGGGCTCCTCTTCGTCCACCGGTGGCGGTGGCGTCACTGTCGCGACCGTCGTTTGCTGGTGGTCGTTGCAGGGCGGCGACTCCGTGGGCGGCTCCGGCGTCTGGGCCTCGGGCCCGGGGCCGGCCGCCGCCATGGAGCGCTGCAGTAGATGCCTGAACCTGGCCAGCGCTGCGCCGTAAGAAACAGGAGAAGTCTTTGCGCGCGGTCGTCCCGTTCGACGGACTGAGCGCGACTAACGGTACATCGGGGCCAACGGGCCGCCGGGCGGAGAAAGGGCGCTGCGGCGCTTTCCTTCCCGCGCGCCGCCGACTTGACCCGCTCCATCCGGGCCGCCCGGCTTTCCCGAAGCCCTTTCCCGAAAAAGTTTAGACCGGGGCTACCCCGTTCTCTCTCTCCGAAGAGGAGAGGAGGAGGCCCGGGCCCGGGTCCCGTCCGGCGGCGCGAGAGCGATGACCGCGCAGGATGCGCACTGGGTCACTGGCACCGGAGAAACGCGGCTGACCCCATTGCCCAGAAATCCGGAACGGCTCCTTGTGTTTGCCGCCGAGGACGTTCACCTGGCATTGAAAACGAGTGCAACGGCCGCCGGGAAGGAAGGCCGGACGTTGACCGGTCTCTGCTGCCACCGCTCAGCTGCGTCGTGTATCTCCAATCGACGATAACGAACGGCAGCTTTTAAGTAATCGTAGGCCTTCATGCGCGCTCTCACATCCACTTCGTTGTTTCCGAAAAGCAGGAGAGAACTTCTGCCAATCCCTAAACTACTTCGCTATTGGCGATTCCTTTTTTTTCGTCTTTAAGGTCTCATCGATAGCGGCTGGAAACTGAAGCGATGCCACCTAGATTCGAACCAGTGCACAACTTCGCGTCAAAATAACGACTGCATTGACATACACAGACAAACATGGACAGGATGGGCGCTCACTTAAAACCGTTTATTTCTTGAGGAAAGCAGGTTAATAAATCTACCTACTCTTCACCAACGCATGCGCGACGTGCTTGAGCCTTCTTCTCCATTATCATGCTATCGGCCACTTTCTTGGTACTGCCCTTATCTGGCTCGTACAGGTTGAATAAAGTTCCGCTTGCACAATCACGCCCCTCTGCTACATAAAAACCAAAACAAGGCAGCATGAAATATTTTGCAGGTGCTTTCCATACAAAAAGAGGGGTAATGATTGTGTAAGTGAAACTGCAATCGATCTGTACGAGTCAGAAAGTGTCCGACAGCACGTTTAGGCTCAAGCAGGTTGTGCTTGAGTTGGCGAGAATCAGCCTGCATTCCTTAAGCAATAAACAGTTGCAAGTGAGTGCCCGTCCTATCTATGTGTTTCTTCGCATCTCACTGTGGTACTGATTTAGGCGCAAAGTTGACTATTGAGTGCAGACATGCGCAAACTAGGCCATTGTAATGGCGAACTGCGTTGTGGGACGACACACGAAGAAAGAAGCACGACAAACAAGCGCAGTCTAACAAGTTGGTTTACTGAAGGATGAAGCCAGCCTTTTAGCAGTCTTTGCCTATATGACCCTACGGGGTTAAGAAAGGAACGCTAAGCGCCAGCAAAACAAGCATGTTCCCAATGAAACAGCAGCTGTCATGAACACAAAAACACGATGCGCATTAAATCGAATGTGAGCGTAGACTGGGGCGGTTACGTGTACGCGCATGCTCTTCGTCAAAAGAATAATCATTGATGGATCTTTTCCTCCCGACACCTCGACAATTCTAATAACTTCCTTTCTTTCGACAGAACTGTCGTGTCTTCGAATACATTCGCAGTGCCGCATATGCACTGGTAAATGCACCAAGCCCAACAACGAATATTACCCATATATGACCGCTCCCGAAGTCAAATGGGCTCTCGTCAACGTGTTTCTAACCTTAACCTTTTTTGCATTCCTTCGCTCACTGCAATTCTCTTAGTGAATGCCAAACAACCTAACGAGGACCTTCGTTAACTATGACGTAATCAGCAATGCCTGAGAGTTAAGGAGGGATGGTGGTTCACGTGCTGAAACAGCGAGCTGATTTTGAAGTTTCTCATAATGAAGAGGTGGTGGGGATATTTGCTGCAGCACACCCTCCCACTTATGTTGGTCTACTTCAAAAGAATACAAGCTTCGAGAGTGACGCAACAATGAAAATTCGGCGATTCCCACAACAGCATCCCATTGGTCTCCGGCTTTCTGAGGGTAAAGACTGGAAGCCAACGCGCTCAATAGCAACCGACGAAAAAGCGTGTTTACTCTCCCTTCATTTGAAATTGTTTTCTTTGTGAACAAGGCCCGACCATACGGGTTCCCGTCCAACCCTGGATTTCAGTGTATACAGATACGACCGCTGAGTACAACATTGGGTAGCACAGGGTTTCCCCTAAAGGGAAGGGATTCATCGCAGTGTCCGTCTCGCTCTATTATGTCAATGTATAAGGCAGACTTTGCGCCCCCCCCCCTGACTCAGGGGGGCTAAATAGGGTGCACCCCCTCGCATGCAAGAAAGACTGCAGCAAAACTTCCCTTGAACGAACTCCAAGAGACTCCAGGAAAGAGTTTGTCAAAATGTAAGTGCGCTAGCCTGGAATAGCGATGCGGCAACTTGTTATCCGGAGCGAAATAAAGCATCAGTTGTTGAAACGAAATTTCAATCCTTTTAATTGCAATGCTGCTTAAGAAAAATAGTTGTCCAACTGATGTTTGAACCGTTTTTGTTTGCAATGCTGCTTCATTCAATGCGAATTTTTGCTTATTTTGGATGTTTTGAATAATTTAGTGATATTTTGCTGCAGTTGTGCTCTTAGGACTGCAGTGCTTATGGATGGAGTCACTGTGTTTGAGCTCCCATTAAACCCTCTCCGGCACGATTCTCTGCTGGGCCCCGAAGGACTTCTAAGTACATCACTGCTTCTTTAGCTGAACTTCTCGGTGCTTCCTCTACAAGGGCTACTTCTTCCTGAGGTAGGACTACAATCTCTTCTGTAGACAGAATGGTTCATGTCTCAGCGCAAGAGTCTTCCTCAAAAGGCGAATCTCTCTCTGTATCCAGTCTCTCTCACAATATTTCATCAACATGGCGTGAGAGGCATTGGATGGTGTGACAAAACATGTTCGTTGAACTGAAATGCGCCCTGCACTAATTTCGTTAAACTGCAACGCATTAGCATTGAAAGAAGTTCGTACAACTGAATAGTTCGTTTAAATGACGTTTGGTGAAGTGGTATTTATTGTGTTATCGCAAAAAAAAAAATCCTACGTGTCCACAGGACTGCCATTTGGTACTTTAGACAATGGCGGAGTAGGTCAAAGGCACGGGGCAGACTTCGCGCCCCCGTTAGACAATGGGGGCGGGGGGGGGTATATTTTTTTATACGAGCCTAAGGTTATAATTAGTGAGCACATAAATGAAAAAAAAGACGCCAACATTCTTTCTTACAAATGTGAGAAAGAACGGCAAGCTAAGCATATGCACCGGGGAAAGGCCTTGCCAAGAAATTAGATTACGTTTTTACTCGGTAGTGGGGCTTGCCTGATTTCTGCTTACATACAACGCCTATTGGTGACATGACTGAGCATAGTATTTCGATGGATGTTTATCAATAAAATTGATAGCTGTAACCCTGAGAGACAAGAAGAGATCAGAGTGTATCAGGGAACAAACGGCTGTTATGGATATCGATATCAAGAAGAAGGAATGGACAAGGGCCGGGCATGTAGCACGTAGGCAGGATAAGCGCTGGTGATGAAGGGTAACTGACTGAATTCTTTGAGAAGGCAAGCAGGTGAGGGGGAGACGGAAAGTTAGGTGGACAGATGAGATTAGGAAGTTTGTGGGTTTAAAGTGGCAGCAGCAAGCACAGGACCGAGTCGACGGGTGGAACATGGGAGAGGCCTTTGTCCTGCAGTGGACGTAGTCAGGCTGATGATGATGATTATTTTCACTGACGTTTCGTCTGGTGGACGAGACTCTATATCGTATTTCTTATTCTATCAAGGTCCACGTGATTTTTTTCCCATACATACATACATACATACATACATATATATATATATATATATATATATATATATATATATATATATATATATATACATATATATATATATATATATATATATATATATATATATATATATATATATATATATATATATATATATATATATATATATATATATATATATATATATATGCGTGTGTGTGTGTGTGTGTGTGTGTGTGTGTGTGTGATACAAGAAGAGAGTAGGCACACGAGCGTAGAGTCAAAAACTTTAAAGGGCCCCTCCTCATCTTCGCTACCCTTCCTATCGGGCGGTTTGCCACCTCTATTTTCTTAAAAGCATGTCAGCATTAGGTGCTGAGCTAATCAGAACTTATCTCTCTTTTTTTGGCAACATGCTGTTATTCTGATCACGCATGATAGTCATTAGAGACAAGGATGGGCGGCTGCGTGGCAAAGCAGTGCAGGAGACAATCACATCAGATATTTCGCGCATATCCACTGCTTGAGAGTATGTACACTTTAGACGACGCGGGAATCGCTGCTATTGCGTTACGACGTGCGCCAGAAAGGCGAGAAACTCTAGAACATAATGATGCGCTCTCCTTTTTTTTTGTATTTTCAGAGGCTGGTGAGGGACCCTTTAAAGGAACACACAAGCGTGCGTAGCATTCTCTTTACACCAGGGGGAGATTCGTTGCAGAGCCCCTTGCTCCCTATAATACCAATGTGCAGGACTGACTTTGAGCCCCCCATCCCCACCCGTGGGCACGCCTACAAAACCAGAAGAAAACGTTTATTAGAGTAGATCGGTGATGGGAAAGCTTAGTCCGAGGCCCCACTGTCGCGGGCCTATGGACGAGCATATAGCGTAACTTTCAAAGAGACTTTCTCGACTGACTCGCATTTCGTATTTATTTGCAGGATGTGTGACCGGCTATGACTAAAGCAATTGTGTCGTCTCTATGTCACGTGCTGAGAAGCAGCAATTACTGTCATCAGGCTCCCAGCCAGAGAGTGCACTAGCCCCCGCCCTCCCCCCTGACCTTATCCTCTGAAATTCGGATGGCGGGAAGAGGTTTTACAGAGGACAAATAGTAAAAATGTGTTTTTCAAGGCCTTCACTCAGTGCTTCCCACCTGCTCCTCCCGCCTTCGAAAAAAAAAAAAAAAAGCTGCTACGGGCTAACTACCACTGTGTGCATATGCATGTGAATTGATTCATTT